AAGTTTCTGAACACCACCATGCACTGTCTATTGAAGACACTCATTGCAGGCTCTCCTGCTCTGTTCCAGAGTCCTATTGTCTCTCCTCTCTTGCTCTATGAAGAGGGGTTACCAGAGGAAAGGGGTGGAAGAGACTGTGAGAGCGCACTGCTGGAGAAGTCTCAAATAATGCACTGCCCCTTTAAGTAAAGTACTCCCCTCAAGGGGTTTGTGATTTTAACACCCTAATTTTGGTGCTGTTGCTGCTGCCAGTGCTACATTCAGAGCTGGTTGCTGGAAAGCAGTGGCTGAAAGAAATACTTCCATCAGGAGCAAAGCAAAAAAAAAATAAAGACAACATGGTATGGCATTGCCACCCTGACTGCTGTGCTGCTGCCTTTGGAGCTAGGCCCTTGGCTAGCAGCTGCCACTTTCCAGCTCTGAAGGCAGCAATGCAGAAGAAAGGGTGGGATAGTATGGCACAGCCACCCTTAACTCTGTGCTGCTGGTGGCAGTGCACTGACTTCAGGAGCTGGGTGCCCAGTGACTGCTCTCTGACTACCCAGCACGGAAGGCAGTTTAGAAGTAAGGGTGGCAATACAGTGACACACCCCCTACAATAGCATTGCGACACTCACCTGCCCCTGACACAATAGGGATGTAAATGGTTAACTGGTAAGCTGCATCCTTACCAGGTGAGACTTACCCATTCCAGTTAACTGGTAGGAGCTGAAGCAGCTCCCTGCTCACCCCAGTCAGAAGGCTGCTCCAGCCCCACAGGGCCAGTTGCAGGCAGAAAAGCGAAAATCAGTGGAAGGATACAAAATATACATTATAGTCAAAGCAGTGGGTTCGGAAAATGATCTTTGCAGCACCATTCTGAATGGGTAGGAGAAAATTCCTCTGTCAAAGCCAGAGAACGGGACATTGTAATAAATGAAGACATGAAGTGCTGAAAGCCCGGATGAGTGTTTTAGCTGTGTAGATGGCTAGAAAATGTCTTCTTAGAAGTGTTATACAGAAAAAACCCCAGCAACATTTAGATAGTCTGGCTAGGAGGACCTAGAAATGTCCAAGTCCACAGGATGCTCAAGTTAGGAGCCAGAGCAACAGGCAGGATGGTGGTACTATTTATGGTGATTGAGAAAGAAGAGAGCAGGCAAGCCTTGAGGGAAGACTAAGCACACTGGTTTAGCCAAGTTGAGTATGACTTTATGATTAGATATCAGTAAAGAAAGCAGTCCAGGAAATCACCAGCCTAGAGATGGCAGCCGGATTTACTTATGAAAGAGAGAAAAGGATATAGAGGGAGTAGAGCAGGGAACTAAGGAGAGTGTCTGTAGAACCCACACAAAGTTGGAGGAAAATGAAGACCACCCTCTAGAAACAAGCTGAAGGAGCAATTAAAGAGGTAGAATAACCTGAGAAATAGTGTCAGAGAAGCCAATGGGAGACAATATTTCAAGGAGAAGAGGATGCTAAATGGCATCAAAGGGGGCTGATAAGTCAAGTAAAAAGAGGATGGGGTATTGGTTCTGGGTTTTGACTAGGAAGAGGTAATTAGAGACTCTGGGTTGACAGTTACTATCAAATTTGGATATTTCTTCAGATGATCTTTGAAAATCTAAGTTTAAAGCTTGTCTGCAAAGGGAAAATGGTCATTTTTCAGTTTAGTTCTAAAACATTCAGTAAATGTTTTGGCTGGATTATAATTTCTCTACAACGTAAAAAAGTGTTTCCCTCAACTCAATAGAAGAGCTGTAAGGATGCCAACACCAGCTAGACTCCAAAATTTCATGATGTAGAATGTCCATTCAAAGTAGTAAATGTACCATAAGGCAAATTGGACCAGACGCTGCTATTATTTGCAACATAGTTTTTTGTATCCCAACTGGGATAATGAGTCATAGACATGCTGGTCTTAGCAAACTGACTATTTAATTGTGTGTATAGAAATCCTACAATAGAAAACATTTTTAAAGCAGCTGTTTGCCAAAACATTTGGGATGTTAAAATGCAGATAATTGGCTAACCGCATAACCACTGAAATTTTCAGTGGTTACATGTACTTGCAGTGTGCACTGACTACTACCCGGCACTGCTCCCACTGTATCAGAGGTAGTTGTGTGGAGTGGCAGCTGGCCTCCCAGGAGCCAGCACACACCGAGAACCAGCTATCAAGTCAGCTCCCCACATGAACCAGCTCCCAGCTGCCCCTCTCCTGCACTGCTGCCTCAGATACAGAGGCATCAGTTCGGAGCAGCAGTCAGCTCCCCAGGAGCCAATGCATTCTGGGAGCCAGCTGCTGACCTGCACTGATGCCTCTGGTACGGAGGCAGCAGTGTTGGGTGGCAGCCAGCTCCCCAGGAGCCAGATCGGGAGCCACACGTGACCATTTATGCTTATCAATTACCTGTTTAAACACCTGCACTCTTATATCCCTACAATCATCACTGCTCAGCTTGGGCTAGTGCATCCAGAACTCATTTACTGAGTTGGGATATACAAGCAGTGAAAGTGCATGTTGTCCCATTAATTTGCCTTGGCAAAACAGAAATGAGAGAGCCCTGTTCCCTACAATATTGACCTCCCATAGTTCAGCAAATTGTCTGATTCAGCACTGGTCAGATCCTGAGGGTGCTGGACTAGAAATTAAACCTGTACTGGCCACTGCACTTTTCTTAAAAGGCCTTATTCAAAGTAATAAATTCAGTGGAACGGCTCAGGTACGAAGAAGTGGCTTTCTGGGATGTACTGAAAAGGAAACTATCTTTTTGTACTTCATGTCAGAGAAGGGAGTTCATCTGAAATCCTCTGAAGAAGTGGCTTTCTGGGATGTACTGAAAAAGAAACAATCTTTTTGTACTTTATGTCAGAGAAATCCACTATTCATCCTGGCCTTTCCTCCTGCTGACCACAGATACTTGGGAACATTTAAATGAAAGATTTCCATTGGGGAGACCTGCACAGATATTGAGTGGTTGGGAATAACTGACTCAGAATAATAACGGAACCCAGGCATAAATGTGACACATCTCTGGCCAGTATAAAGTGATCCATGCTGTCTTCCCCATGGATTCCTTAAAGAACAAGATATGAGCAAGCTTAAAAACTGTCCTTTATTTAAGCACATGAATTGAAACATAAGTATTTTGCTTAATATACTATCATTTTTAGTAAGCTACACATTACATGTTTATGTTGCATATCCCACCTATGTTCAATCCAGCCAGTATTCGTGTTCTTCCTTCCTAAATAAGCCCAAGCTTCTACTCAATAACAGAGCGAGCTCAAAGCAACAAATCCACTAAGGATTAACTTGTAATGTTTGTTTGTCCCAATTTCTGCTCTGTACATACCTTCTCCGTTTTGCTGAATTTACAGATGTCCAACCTGCTTCTCTTGTATCCACAACTGCTCTTTTCCATCTAGTTTATCTCAAAGCCTTTGGAAGATAAATGTGATCTAAGGCTCTTTTCCACAGCTACACTGTAATTAACCAAACTGCATGGCAACAACACTTTTTCCAGAACAAACAGGCAGAAAAAGCATACGAAAACCAGGATCCTCTTGGCGGGAGCACCACTAGTAAAGCTCTCCATTCAACTCACAGTTCTTTAAGTTCTGATGGCTAAGGCCCTACCAAATTAACAGCAATGGAAAATGTTTCACGGAATGTGAAATCTGGTCTTGTATGTGCTTTTACCTATACTATATAGATTTAATGGGGGATTCTAGCATTTCTCAAATTAGGGGTCCTAATCCAAATGGGCATTAAGGGGGGAGGGATTGCAAGATTATTTTAGAGAATCATGATATTGCCATCTTTTCTTCTGCTGCCTTTAGAACTGGCAGCTGGAGAGCAGCAACTGTGGCTGGGTGCCCAGCTCTAAAGGCAGCAGTGCAAAAGTAATGGTGGCAATACAATACCATGCCATCTTTAATTTTGCACTGGTAATGGTGTTGGCGACTTTGCCTTCAGAGCTGGGCTCCTGGCCAGAAACCACCATGGTACAACTGCCCAGCTCTGACAGCAAAGCTGCCACCTGCAAAAGTAAAAGTAGCAGTACTGCATCCCCACTACAATAACCTTGTGACCATCACCCCCACCCCAAGTTATTTTGGGGTCAGGACCCTTACAATTACAACACTGAAATTTCAGATTTAAATAGGTGAAATTATGAAATGTACAATTTTAAAAATCCTACAACTGTGAAATTGGCCAAAATGGACCATGAACTTGGCAGGGCCTTGGTAATGGATATATTGACATAGTATGGGCATGTTGTTACTTCCTCCAATGTGCTTTAGTGGCTAAAGCTGTGGTCACCAACCAGTAGATTGGGATCTAACATTAGACCTTGGAGCCTCTCACACATGATCCTGACTGGTTTGGCCAGGAAGCTATCAAGCACTGGCACTTCAGTTGTCCCTTCACCCACTGTCATGCTGCTCTTGCCCTCCGTCTTGGAACTGCCCCCCTGGGAGGGGGTATTTCAAAGCAGCAGCAGCACCACTTGAAAACTGGGGCCAGACCCCGGACTCCCCGCAGCGCTACCACTTTGAAGCCTGGGTATCCCCAGGCTGCAGAAGGCATTTCAAAGTGGCGGCATTGCGTGGAGCCCGGGATGAGCTGGGGATTCTCCCGCTTACCCTGGGGTCCGTGTGGCGCTGCCCCTTTGAAACACCGTGGGGAGCCTGGCATCAGTTAAAGTCTAAGTTTAATGGGACTACTCATGTGAATAAGGGTTGCAGGACTGAAGACTTCAGGAATATTTTTCATTTGTTCTACTTAGATGTTTTATAATAACCAAAAGTGGTCTCCTGAAGAAAGGAATATTAGAGACATCTGTGGTTTAACATAATTGTTTCAGTTCTCATGGCCAGGTACTGTAACTGGCTAAAATAAAAGTCAGATCTGAATTCAATAATCATTTATGTTTCTTCCAAGTGCAAAAAAGTGGTTGTCACTTTTCCAGTAAATGACAAATTAAATAAAAAATCATCAGTAATAAACTTACAGGATCAATTGAAGGCAAGAGATCTTTTTTTTCTTGTTCTAAATCTTCCTCTTCATCTGTGCTATATTCTTCCATGGTTTCTCCACTTGCAAAATGAATGACCCTTCTTGGAATTTTCTTCTTTTTCCCTATGATCCCCAGTTCCACGTTCTCAAAGCCTCTATCGCCATTTGAGTGCAGCTGCAACAAAAAAATAAATGAACAACATAAGCTTCTGCAGAAAAAGCAGTGAAACAGGAGGCTTGGTTCTCCCAAATATCACAAAATATCTATCAGCCCATCTAAGGTCCCTTACTAAAAGTAATAGATATAATTGAAAGCTTTTCTGAATACCGAGTTGAAGGTTTTTTTGTTTGTTTTTTTAAGTGATGTAGCTATAATAAGGCAGCATTCCCCAAACTTTATAAAGTTGACCTTCCCACTTCAAGAAAATGAATTTAATCACATTCACTTCAATCCTGTCATCTATTATTAGAGCCAAAATGAGCCACTTACTCAAGTTGCATTGTGCAGATCTTCACAACTTGTCACTTCCTTTCTTTTTTTTTTTTTTTACATGCTTTGCTGAACTATGAAATAGTGACGTTGACATTTAAGATATCATCATTGGCATACGAATTGTCACTGAAATGAACAGCAATTGGAAAAGTAGGCACATCTAAGACTAAATCTACACTGCCACTTATACTGCACTGCAACTTTCTGGCTCAAGAATATGAAAAAAAAAACACACTTAAGCACAGCAAATTATAGCGCTGTAATGTGGGCTCCTAGCATAGTTAGCTACTATCCATGTGGAGGTGGTTTAATTTTAAATGTTAAAAGTGTAGATAAAGCCTAAGGATCAACCTGACCCACATGTAATTCTGAAATACATAGATCATACCACATAAAAAAAGAAAAAAAGAAAGTTGAACTTTAGGGACCTATTTGAGATAACTGTTAAGGAGACATCTTCCAATACACATGCCACTGAACAGAATTCCAGTGGAAAGCAATTTCATGCTGCTTTTATTTCTCAACAAACTGAATTCACCACCTCAATCCCAACTACTCTACAGAAGATGCCAGCAAGGAAATAAGTTGGTCCAATAAAATATTTTTATCTTGCCCACCTCGTCTCTATGATTGAGCAATGACATATAGAACACTATATGTTAGCTACATGAATGGAACAAAAACATCCACATACATAAAAGGCTTACAGAAAACATAACATACTGTACAATGAAAAAAAAATCCAGCCTATTATGTTGTGACAGTCCCCTTACTCTACAAAACTTAGTTATTTAAAATATTAACCAGTCAACATGAAAATTCACCACCACACTAATGCTCTCCCCCTCCCCTTTTTTGCCCCCCTCCTCCTCCACAAAAAAATCCTTACAGTCACAATGAGGCTGAACAAAAGACAAGTTTCTACAAGGTGGCTGGATGATTCTTTCCACCAACAGAATCAAAATGAGATCAGATACAAAGAAGATACATATCTTTCACATGAGCAGAAAAAAAATCTCTTCTGCCTTGGCAGTATAAAGAATATTAATGCTAATGCAGCATAGTTTTAGCTGCATTAGTCCCAAAACATGGGACACGCAAGGTGGGGGAGGTAGATAAATTTCTGTTGCAGACACACACAAGCTTTCAAGGAACAAAGAGCTCTTCTTCTAATTTGGGAATGGTGTTCCAAGTATAAAAGCTAAAAGCAAGGTGGAACAAACTGTTTAGCATAAGCAGCCAGAGACCACATTTATGGTTTATTACTACAATCTGTAACCTACAAACACCTTCCTCTTATTTCCATGACTGATGAGTTGTTAACTGGCAACTCTTACATGAAAGGTCACTTAGAACATGTGCTAACTTCTACAGTTTTCAATTTTATGCTAAACAAGTAGTTACGCATTTGGTTTGTAACAGTTGTCAATTTTCCTTTGCGTGTTTTTGGCACAGTTTATACAGTTACATTAAAGTAGCAGTAATTTAATCTGATAGATTGTTTGGGTTTTTTACATTCAACGAAAATATTTTAATCCTGTACCCCAGTGACACTTACCAAAATTCCAGGTTCTGGATGTTAAATCTGTGACTAAACATATCCTACCTATGTGAAAGTACAGAGAGAAATCCCTGTCCTTCTAACATCACTTCTTGCGGAGTTATATATATGTGCGTAGTTGCGATTCTCCTTAAACTAACCCCTCCCAATTACCTGGTCACATTCTTTTTAATAAAAAGATTGTGCCCTATGTTTTGTCTGGCAAAAAAACAGTGAGAAAATTTACACTGCAATGTGACTTTTGTCTGGAAAAATCATCCAGTTTTGCCAACAAAAAACGTCACCCCTGCAAGAGACTTTTGTCTTTTCCCCGCCCTTTATTGTCAAAGAGCCAGTGTGGACTCTGCTGTTTGTTTTGTTGAGAGAACTAGCTTCCGCCAGTTTTCCACGATGCCTGCCCTGATGGCTGTGCTCTGTTTTGCGGTCTCTGCTTCCCTGCAGGCATACACCTCTCCTCTTTTGAAGCTCTGAGAAGTATCTGGGTATGTCTACACTACAACGTTTTTTCAGAAAAAACACCCGTTCAAAAAAAAAAAAAAAAACTTTGATTACGTCCACACGCAATCAGGTTCTTTTGAAAGAAGAACGAAAAAACAGAGGGTTTTTTTCAACATTGGAAATTTCGAGGGAGATTTTAGAAACCCCATTCATTGGAGGTTTTTAAGGTTAGACAAATACTTATCATAAATAGTCCAGGAAAGCACACTTGATCCTGCCTAGGTCCCTTGGACCAGACTAGATGACTTCTCAAGATCCCTTCCAAGCCATACATTTTTATGATTATATAAATTTTAATAATATTAAGCTGAAATTATGTTCTAAGTGTACTAAATGTTTCACAAACATGGAAAACATGTCCCTATCCCACAAATTTTACAGTCTAAACAAAGGAAAAAGTGGGGGAGAAGACAAAGCAATTTATTTCTTACTATTTACATTCAGGTTTTATGTTCTCAGCTTAATTTTGATAAATCAAAACCCATGAAACAAAGCAGTTTCAAAATATTTAATATGAAGGTGCATTAGTCTATGTACTTTTATGTTTTGTAACATTTCAAAACTAGCTTTGGTTCTTTCAAATCCCTACAATTATGTAGTTAGCCAAGATGAAATCACTTCAATTTACCAAGAATGCTTCCCCTCCACTAGTTCAAACAAGAGATATAATAAAAACTGCATCTGTAAAGCCAGAAGTCTCATTTGAAAAGACATTGCACACCAGAAAGTACATTTTTTAAAAAAAAAGTTTTGCTACACATTAACTAGTACAATTCACAATGTAAACCCCATCTCAAGTCTGCATACACAGATGCTCGTCTTTATTAAGTTTACACCATTCTGCCTTTCTTTTCCCATCTCTGTGCTGACAAATTATACAAACACAACAGAAATGGCCAGCCAGCAATTTGTGAAAGAGGTATTCTACTAGTTCTCAATCCACAGATATGTAGGTTTACCAGGTATACGGTATTGGCCTGGCTTCTGTCCAGTTTAGAAAAAAAAAAACCCTGAAAATTTTCTGTTTTTCTCGGACGGAATCCTCTTGGAACATTCTTCCCCTGCCGTGTCTGGTGGGGGCGAGGGTAGCATGGGGATTTAAGGGTGACATTTTTGCGTATGTGCGGTAGTTCTTTTTGGCTTAACAACTTTGGTCCCCTGTGGGGTTTGTTTGTTTTTTCTTAACAACTTTGGTCCAAGACATTTTTTTTTTTTTTTTTTGGCTCAACCAGTTTTTTTCCCTGCCATGATCGGTATTTTTTGTGAAAGTATCTGGCAACCCTACAGGTAATCTATTTTGAAAGATAAAGTTGATCGGAGAATCAGGCAGTAAACTGAACAGGTGCATTTGAAAAAAGTATTTATTGAAACTGCTTTTCTATTTTGGCTTCTTTTAATTAAATTTAAAAGATGACCTTAACATCTATATGTTGCATTAATTACACAGAAGTCAGTAAATTGTAACATACATTTTCCCAGTAGTCCTTTCTGTAGCTCCTGTGTATACGCATTTACAATAGAATTCTTTGTTACACAGCCACACAGTGATAATGCAGTATTCCACAGAAATTATAATAATGGAACTGCACCTGTCTGTGCTACTCCTGCAATAACACTATCACGATTATTTATATTTAAATTCCACTTTCCTTTGACCCTTAAATGTATGCATGTAGCATTGTGCACTGCTACATCTATAAAGTAAAAATCCTACAATCTTTGCATTTAATTAACATGGTAGGGCCAACCGTGTCATGCTGAGGGCGTGGATCACTCCAGTCTGATTGGGCTGGAGCAGCCCCCTTCCTGTGGTATGATGTGGCAGGCATGCTCAGCCCAGCCTGGCTGGAGCAGCCCCTGCCTGTATTCTGCCATGGATGGGCGGGGGGGCCGCTCTACTCCAGCTGCGTCCTGCTACATGTGGGGTGGAACAGACCCTGTTGCAGGATCACAAGTAACCGGTTAAATATTTTATTTAACCAGTTAACTATTTAACCACAATTTTACATCCTTAAGCCAAAAATGAGTGGGTTATTACTCTAGCTTTTCCATTTGCATGCCTGACCACAAAATCTTAACTTGGGTCACAAGCAAAAATTAATGTAGTATTCATGTGCACATCATAAAAGCATCACACAACCAGCGGTTTGCTAAGAACAGAATAGCAGAAGTGATAAAGTCATAGCAATTATTTCTACTTGAGATCTTTGAGACCTCTACTTTTCCATTTTATGAGACAATCGAATTCCAGGCACATCCCATTGTCCTGGCACACGTAAAGCAAAGCAAGGGTTTGGTTATGTTAAGAGGAAGCTGCATACCAAACATTCGAATTCTAGTTCTTACCATTTAAGAGTCCTTGAACAAATGGACCCACAAATGGACAAACGGACACACAAAGTTTCTAAAATATATAGTAAATTAAGATGTCAACTCATTTCTCTTCTGTCAACTTGCATCACCTTTCTTCATATTATCCCTCAAAATTATGCATAGCTCCTCAAACATTTATGAAGCTACTTCATTGTGCTCTTTAAATCCCTTCTGTGATTTAACACCTGCACAAATCTTGACAATGGTTAGGCTCCTGACCAACTGAAACTACTGCCTATCATACTGACAAATGCTGCCTCATTGTTTGCTAGTACTCCTCTCCAGTATTCTCTGTAAGCTGTGCACTTGTGAATACACTTAGGAGAGATTCAAATGCCACCCACCTGATTACCAGAGTGATCACAGGTTGTCTTTGTTTCTATGATAGTGCTCATTTGTGTGCCTTGGTGTACATAAAAAATTATTCCATACATGGATATAAAAAAATCCGCACATGGATTGAAAAGATTAGAAGGAACATTGTTCCTGTCTGTACCCATCCATCTCCCATTTTATACTAAACTATAATCTATTTGGGGGCAGGGACTTTTTGTTCTCAGCTTATACTCAGCCTAGAGAAATAAATAATATGGAAACCAAGGCTGTACATCAGTCTTTTCAATTCATTAGCTGCATCACTTCTTAGATCACAAGACCTCAAAAATTCTATACCAAAGATTGTCCTTACTTTGTTTCAGTTAAAACTTATCATCCTACATAAGACTAAGTATATTGAAACTAAGATCAGGAAGCTTAAAGAATACCAATTAATACCATGTTCTTGATACAAAAGCTTGGCAGGCCTTAGCAAGAAAGCAAGGAGTCATGCTATATCCATTGCTTCTTAATGTCTTTATTGTTCCTGTTTTATTTTCTTGTTGGGGTATTTTGGGAGGAGGAGATATGCATTTTTTAAAATATTTCAACTGAATTTTGTAAGTGTTCTACTTAGAGCAGCAACCACCAAAACACAAAACATGAAAACAACTAGAAGCTGGCTATGAAAGTGAAACTGCAAAGTGTAAACAAAAAATGAACTAGTGATACAGGATAGGGGTTTGGTTTAAATGACCATTGTTGGTCATCTCAGATGTTACTACTACAGAAGTAAGGAAATTTGTCAGGTTAAAGGCTATTTTAAGAAGTTATGTCTATTATATGTATCCATGTCTGTACTTGCCATTGTGAATTGAAGTTTTTATAAAAAGGGAGCACTCTACCCTCAACAAAATGAAGTAGTTAATATTTCAGTATAAAACCTGAGCTGGATTGAAAGTTTACTAGGTTCTCCACCTATTTCCCCAATGCTTCTCATAAGCCTGGATCATGCAAAACCTTTCCTGGAAATTTTACAGTTGGAAGGCTTGCAAGATGAAGCCTGTGATTCAGGTATCTTTTGGGTTCACTACCTACCTCTACTATGCTGCTACCCTCTGGTGGCAGAGACAAAAACAAATGACAACCAAAGCCATACATTAAAACTACATTGACTTCACTTTCATGCCTCCACCCAGCTATACTGTTGAGCTATTTTTGCCAGAAAAGTCATTGTTCACAACCTAAACAGAGTGAAAACAAATTAAAGCTCTCTTGGGTCGGGAGAGGAAACTATGCAAAAGCATAACAGGTATTGTAGTAAATGGAAGTGAAAAAAATGGAAGCTATGATTTCTGAAAGAAGTCCAATTTTCTAAGGGTGGGTTGAGGAGCGCAAGAAAAGGGTCTTCAAACTATGCATTCACAAGATCAAACAATGCTGTGTCTATATAGATTTGACAACTATGTTAAGCCACAGTAACAAACAAAAAAACGCTGCGGGCTGGGGGGTTATCACCACCAGCACAATAAACAAAACATTTATAGTGATCTAGCATCTTTTACCCAAGAGTCTCCAAGCAACTTACAAACATCGATGACCGCAGCCTCTCGCTAGGCAGCCCTTTGGGGCAGGGAGTCACTAGCCCGTGTCCCAGGCGGGACGTGGAGCCTGAAATATGCTGAGGACGCGCTAGTCCCGACTCACAGGCCTCTCGCTTTAGCTACGGACGGACCCACGACACCCCCTTTGCTACCGTGGGGGCCGGGGCATCGCTCAGCGGTGGGAAGCAGCTGCCCACTGGCCCTGGGAGCGGCAGAGACCAGGCTCCGGCCAGTCCCCCTGTGGGGAGTGTTGAGTCACCGGGGCGGGCGATGAGGCCCGGGGGAAGCTGGTCTCACCTGCTCCTGCTCCATGGCGAGGGCGGCGGGCGCGGTCCCGGCAATGGGGGCGCAGTACAGGCTGATAGCGGAGAGCCCCTGCTCCATGCCCCTGCCACCCACACGAGCGGCGGCCCGGCCCCGGGGAGGGGAGTGACGGGGG